TTTATTACCAGGTTACATTCACTGCCCGGGTGGAGGTTGATACTAAATGGTACTGTATATTACGGTACTCGTCCGTTTTAATTTCCCCACATAATACACGTACACCACATGGCTTATTCAGGTAAGACAAAAACAACTTAAAAATGTACGCTACGGTCGATATTGGTACAAAGCCAGTTACGAAGACAAATTGAAATAAGTCCGAAATGTACTACATTTATCAGCAAGTTTTAGCTTTAGACGGTGATTTCGCAATCTCTAGCAGGACCCCCCTCCTGGTTAACGTTTCCCGACAACGCAGGAACTCTGACCAAAGTTCAAAATGGAAGTGTATTTTTACACGTGCGTCACAGTACATGTTGTCAGTTAGTAGAGCATGCGACACGATACTGCAGACATTGTTTACTAGACACCTGCATAGATATGACTTACAGTCGATTGGCAATACAGGTTTTAAAACGATCCCATTACTTTCAAAGTGGCACGTGGTCGCCGAGAATCTATCTCGATGCCGAGGATGATGACTTCGACCCGCACTACGACGAAGAACTCGAAGGTCGATATGCTGGTGAATACTCCGATTCCGACAGCGACGATGACGATGACGACGATGTGTCATACAATCTAAACAGTGTGGTGACACATCAACCGAAAGCTTTGTCGCACACTAAAGAAAACGGCGATCTAGATATGTTAAAAATTCGAAACATGACTGGGGACGATGTGGACTTTGCGGCGAGACTAGCGGTGGAAGCGTTTCAAGAAAAGTATGAATGGACTGCTGGTAAAAACAAGTAAGACCACACCTAAACACTATACCAAGCCAGCATAAGAACGTAAGCATACTGACTCATTAAACGCTAAGCTTTCAGCCTAAGTTCGTATCTGAAAATCGATTAATTGGTACATGTTTGGTTACACTCATGTCAAATCAACTACTAATAACACGATTAAAACTGCCAACGCTGTTATAAAGATTCGTCGAAAAAGTGAAATATACGGGACACAAAAACATGTCCTATGTACCGTAGTTATTCAAGGTCCCATCCAATTTTCTTTACGGTCTTGTTTATGGTTCACACCATTTTTATTTATATTATTGAATTATTTTTACTAACGTTGTTATACATTCCATTGTTACCCTGCATTGTAATAACGCCCCTGGATTACCACAGCGTGTTTTGACTAAAAACGAAGCAAATAATTGCTATTGTTATCAACGTTAATATTAGAATGAGTTTACCTGGGGTGACATATCTACCTTTCAATATATTAGCTTCCACACAGCTAACGAATGTCATTGGCATTGCTAAAAATTCTGAAAATTAACGGCACATATTGAAGTTGGACGTGTGAATGTATTAACAGGGATCGTTCTCTTTCTTTCCAGTATTGAAGATGTTATCGAACTTACCCGAAGCTCGCTATCGAACTGTCCCGATGTTTACCGAAGGCGATTTATAGCGATCCACGAAGGCGAGCCAGCTGGTGTAATTAGCCTTATCCTGAAAAACGACATGTGAGTAAGTTATGAAATCTGATTCCAGCATTAATCTAGATTATTTGTTTTGCTAACGTACGATTTATTGTCACGGTTTACATATTTACAGGCAATTCATAATATATGAAATGTATACACAGTCAAATTAGGTGAAGATCACGTGGTATTAAAATGTCACAATAACTGGTAGTTATGCAATATATCGCACCATAAATTGAAGTAATACGAAATAGACAAACAAAATGTTAATCTGCGAAAAGTTTGTAACAGATTTCAAATTTCATAAGCTGACATATTATTTAGTCAGTAAATGTTAGTAGGTAAATTTGAATTCTTGATAGGTTTGTACGTGTTGTACGTGATCAGTCCAACCAAAAATGACATCATTTATTATTACGGGATACAGGAATATACACTTTGAACTTCATCTCCGTTAACATATCTCATCATTGACACATTCAATTAATTTCGCGACTCTGAAATATATAATAGGTTTTCGTTCTGTTTTATTTGAACGAAATATTTGTATAGCAAGTAATGTCATACGGATCAATTTTTATATTGTAGTGTATAGTGTACGCACTAGATTCAATTCTTTACAAAAACACGTAATTATAATTAATATAAAAGTAAAAATAAAATGGGACTCCGTTTGAGATTTACATAACTATATTAAATGATTGACGCTATAGAAACAAACTACTGTGACGCATTACATATAGTCAAGACATCAACAATAATTCATGTTGTTAATTTCTTCAAATCACCTAGAATGCTGTGCCATCGGAGCATAGCGGTGTTGTGACGAGCTCTTGTTGATAAGACAATAAGAGGGCAATGTACTGTCAATGTTTGACCCAAACACAATTGTTTACAATCAGCTGACGTGGCAATCAGATGCCATTTGGGGGGGGGACAACAATTCACGTCCTAAATAATAAATCTGGCAGGGGGTATATGTCACTAAATCACTACTTGGTCTACAATGTGTTTTTGTGTGTATGTAAAAATAGTTTATATTAGGGTCATGAGTTTAACTATAAGTCCGGCCACAGACCCCTACAAATCTTGAATCTCAGTGACATCCGGGTCTCTGCACTACGGCCACGGATACATATGTGTCGCATATATGTTTACATATTGCATGACGAATTGTTAATCCACTTGAATATCTGCGATGTGCAGATAACACACATCAATCAGAACTCCGTGTGCGTGATGAAATTAAACCAGACAGCTGATGTTGGTGACAGTTGCGCCGATCAAATGGACAATTACGAAAATCGATGAATACTAAAATACAAAGAAGAAGCATACAGCAAATTACATATTCTCCTTTAATTAAATTTAATTACTATTCGGATTATTTGTCTATCTACAGTCACTGTGTTAATTTATAATTACAGCTCGATTTATGCCGTCGTACGACCGACCTGTATGAAACAGCATTTGAGAAAAATAAATATATTTTTAACAATTCCAATTCCAGAGAAAAGTTTGTAAAGACAAATATATCACAATCTGATTAAAATCTTATGTAGTGTACGGACTAATATAATCATTTATTTATTTATTTATTTATTTATTTATTTATTTATTTATTTGTTTGTTTGTTTGTTTGTTTGTTTGTTTGTTTGTTTGTTTGTTTGTTTGTTTGTTTATTTATTTATTTATTTATTTATTTATTTATTTATTTATTTATTTATTTGTTTGTTTGTTTGTTTGTTTGTTTGTTTGTTTGTTTGTTTGTTTGTTTGTTTGTTTATTTATTTATTTATTTATTTATTTATTTATTTCGGCTGTTTTGCCGCCTACTAATAAGTATGGGGATAACGGATCGCTGCCTACTAATACGTAAAAGAATAAGGGGTCGCCTCCTACTGACAAGGAAGGGAGTGAGAGACCGCTGTCAATTAATAAGTAAGAGGATAAGGGGTCGTCGCATACTAATATGTAAAAGGATAAGGGATCCCCACCTACTAATAAGTTAGGGGATAAGAGATTGCCACCTACTAATAAGTAAGAGGATAGGAATTGCCGCCTACTAATAAGTAAGGGGAAAAGAGATTGCCGCCTACTAATAAGTAAGGGGATACGGGATTACCGCCTATTAATAAGTAAAGGGGTAAGGGATCGCCGCCTAATAGTAAATAACGGAATACGGGCAACTAGGTTATTGGATAAAACAGATAGGTGTGCCATTTCATTTGGCATGTCATATCAACTGGTTCAGTATTATTGTTTTTCCGGAGATGATATTAAAGTACATGTGTATATATATATTTGCTGACAGAGCCCATTCTGATAACGATGTCCTCTCTCCTGTACAGAAAACCAACCATTGAATGCTGTGATGCCTGTTCAAAGCTTGGTCTCTGTCGTGCTATTTGGTGAGTGTCAATGAACTATGAATTATTGTGGAACA